CAGCTCTGCAACTGCATCCTGGCCCATCCTCACCCTTCTGCCCCCAACCCTCACCTCCTTGTACCCCCAATATGTTTTTTCCAATAAAAAAATATTAAAAAGAAAATTAAAAAAAATAAGGACCCGGGAATTGATAAAATAACACTGACATGATTTAACAAACAGATGCGGTTCTGGACATGCTCACGAGTCTATGCCAAGAAGTTTGGAAAACAGTTACTAGGCCATCTAACTGGAAGAGAAACATATTTATTCTTACTCCCAAATAAAAGGATGCAAGAGAATGTGGAAATTATAAAAATATATTTAATATCAAGCACAAGTAAAATCTTGCTGAAGATTACTAAAAGATGACTGGAACACTATATGAACAACGAATGTCAATAGATTCAAGATGCATTTAAATGATGAATCTTGTTAGAAAGCAAAGAATACCAGGAAGATGTTTATTTGTATTTTATTGACTATAGAAAGATATTAAACTGTGTGTCTCAGAATAAATTATAGATCAAGAAGCAGTTGTTCAAGTAGAGTAAGAGGATACTTTATGGTTTAAAATCAGGAAAAGTGTGCATCAGGGTTGTATTCTTTTCTCATACCTATTCTATATGGATTGTTGATCTTGTGTGCCATCAAGTAGATTTAAACATATAGCAGCTCTATGCACAATAACTCCAAACCCTGCTCTATCCTGAGCCAATCTCACTGTTTCTGACACACCCACCATCATTACCTCAGTTACTGTGTCAACCCATTTCAACCAAGGTTTTCCTTTCCTATGCTCTCGGTCTACCCTTCCAAGCATGATGTCCTTCTCCAAGGATTGGTCTCTACTGAACAAATGCCCAAAGGATGTGAGACAAAGCCTCAAAATCCTTGCCTCCAAGGAACAGCTTGGTTTTATCATCTCCAGGACAGACCTGTTAATCCTCTTGTCAGTCTATGGTATGTTCAATACTTTTCTCCAGCATTACAATTCAAAGGCATCAATTCTTCTGTCGTCTTTGGTCATTGTCCAGCCCTCTGATACATAACAAGTAATTGAGAAGAACATGACCTGAATCAGATGCACCTTAGTCTCTAGACTGACATCATTGCTCATTAACACTCTGGAGAGATCCCTGACAACAGATTTTTGTAATGCAATTAGTCTTTTATTTTCTGACTGCTGGCTTTAATAGTGTTAATTGTGGAGCCAAGCAAGCAGAAATTGTTAACAATCTCAAGCTCTTCTCCATCTACCGTGGTGATGTCAATTGGCTCAGTGGTGAAAATCTTCATTTTCCTGATGTTGAGACTCAAGCCATATTGCAGACTATATAGTTCTTGACCCTCAGCCACAAATGTTTCAGGCTCTTTTCAGTTTCTGCAAGCAAGGCTGTGTCACATTGCTCCTCATAAAGTCCAGCCTCCAGAATGATCTGTTCCCCATATAGAGTAAAATTAATGGAGACAGGACACATCCCTGATACACTGCTTTTCTGATTTTGAAACATGGCAGTGTTGTTGCCTTTCTCAATTCTGAAGATTCTTAAGGATGCTAATAAAAATTATAGAAGCTGGAATATATGAAGAAGAATGTAGCATTAAGGTTGAAGGAAGACTCACTAATAACCTAAGTAATGCAGACAACACAAATTTGCTTGCAGATAATAAAGAATTGAAGTCCTTACTGAGGAAAATCAATACGGATTCTTAACAAATTCAAAATGTATTACCTAAACATGAAAAAAACCAAAAATCCTCACAACTGTATCAATAAGTAACAAACATGATAGATGAAAAAAATATTGAAGTTGTCAATGATTTAATTTTACTATAGTCTACGATCAACCCCCACAGTAGTTGTTGTTGTTATTGTTATGTGCTGTGTGTTGCTTGAGACTCATAGCGACCCTATGTACAACAGCCCTATAACCCGCTTTATTCTGTGCCAATCTTATTGTCTCTGACACACCTAGCCCCCATTACCCCAGTCACTGAATCAATCCATCTCATTGGGGGTCTTCCTCTCCTACTCTGTCCCTCCAACCTCCCAAGAATGATGTCCCTCTCCAAAGACTCGTCCCTCCCTGCAACATGTCCAAAGTATGCCAGATAAAGCTTCAGGATCCTTGCCTCCAAGGAGCAGTCTGTTTTCACCCTCTCTAGGGAAAAACTGTTCTCTTAGCAGTCCAGGGTATAGTCAATACTCTTCTCCAGCACCGCAGCTCAAAGGCATCAATTCTCCTATCATGCCTATTCATTGTCCAGCTTTCTGATGCATAGCAAGTAATTGCAAAGACTATGGCCTGGATCAGGTGCACCTAAGTCTCCAGACTGGCATTATTGTTCTTCAGTACTCTGGAGAGATCCTTGACAACAGACTTTTTCAATGCAATTAGTCTTTTACTTTCCTGGCTATCAAGAGTGTTGTCTGTGGAGCCAAGCAAACTGAAGCTGTTAACAATCTCAATCTCTTCACCATCCATCCTGATGCTGCCAATTGGTCCAGAGGAGAGAATCTTTGTTTTCTTATTATTGACTTTTAATCCATATTTAAGGCTGCAGTCCTTGACCTTCTGCACCAAGAGCTTCAGGTCCTCCTCAGGTTCAGCAAACAGGGTTGTGCCATCTGTATAACAAATGTTGTTGATGAGTCTTCCTCCAATCCTGATGCCAAATTTCTCCTCATAGAGCCCACCCTCCTGGATAATCTGTTCTGCATATAGATTGAAAAGGTACGGAGATAGGACACATCCCTGGCTTACAACCTTCCCAATTTAGATGCATGCATGTTTCCTTGCTCTATAAGGATACAGGGTAGCACGATCAAGTATTCTGGGATTTGCATTCATCTCAGAGTTAACCACAGTTTGTTGTGATCCGCACAGTCAAATTCCTTTTCATAGTCAATGAAACATGAACATAGACATTCCTCTGGAACTCCCAGCTTTCATCCAAGATCCATCTAACATTTGCTATAATATTCCTAGTACCACGGCCTTTTCTAAACCCAGCCTGTACTTCAGGTAACTGATTTGTTGATGTGCTGTTCTAGTCGGTTTTGGATAATTTTTAGCAGAATTTTGCTTGCATGTGAAATTAATGATATTTTTTCAATAATTTTAACATTCCATTGGGTCACCTTTCTTTAGAATGGGAACAAATATAGATCTCTTCAAGTCATTTGGCCAAATGATTGTCCTCCAGATTTCTTGGCACAACTTGGTGAGCACATCCAGGACAGCATCTGTTTGTTGAAATATGTCAATTGATATGCTATTAATTCCTGGTGCCTTGCTTTTTTCCAATTCAATCAGAGCTGCTTGAACTTCTTCCTTCATCACCACAGGCTCTTGCTCATACGTTGTTTCATGAAATTTTTCTGTGTCCACAAATTTCTTTTGGTACAGTGGCTCCGTATACTCCTTCTATCTTCTTTTAACAGTAGTAATCGTCAATAAATAAAGAGAAACCTGTTGCCTCAGCAAATCGAGTGTCGAGGACATGTTTTAAAGTGCTAATGAGCAAGTAGTAGAAGTTTAAAACTATGATGAGCCTGTCACAAGCCAAGGTATTTTCAATAGATGGGATATCTCGGAGCAAGGATATTTCACGTGAAAGAACAAAAAGATGGAGAATGCCCGGGTGTCTGAGCAATATGATATGAGTAAGGGAGATGGAATGGAAGATAACATTGAAGAAAGAGTAACTGAAGAAAGTCAAATGGGCAAACCATTGTGTAAACTTTGGTTTGACTCTGAAAATGAGGTTTTAAATCAAGTTGAAGTGACATATGTTTATAGAATTATACTAGGGACTGTGGTGAGAACAGGCTGAAAACCCTGAATCCCCTAGTTATAAGATGCCAGAATATTATAGGATTCAAAAAGTTTATTAGGCATCAATGACTCTTTAAGTCAGCTTGCCTTTTCTTTTTTTTCATTCCTTTTCTTTTATTGGGAAAAACATATTGGGGGTACAAGGAGGTGAGGGTTGGGGGCAGAAGGGTGAGGATGGGCCAGGATGCAGTTGCAGAGCTGCACAGTTTGTTCGGTGGGGGGGAGCAGGTGAAGGAAATGATGAGGGTCCAGTGGGGACCAGATGCTACAGAGGAATGATAAGCATTTTCCAATAGTAATTAAACCAACTGTCTTATTGATTTGGGAATTGGATGCCAACTCTCTGGCTTCGTCACACTGAACAGGGGCGTAGATATAAAGGGAGGAAGGGAGGACGCTTTATCTCCTTACTGGGGGTCTTGGGTTAAAGCTGCCTGCCTTCTTGCTCTGTTAGAAGATATTTTCCTGTCATTTGCTCCCCTCTGGACTGCAAAGTGTTTTCCCAGGTGGGTCCAGTGGGGATGGCTGGTTGAACCCAGAGGCTCCATCCTCCTTTGCTTCCTTAGCTGTCAGCTGTATTTCCTTTTTGTCACTGGCACTGGGTTCAGGGTCAATTCTGGAGTAAAACTCAGTGTTAGGGTTACCTATAGGAAAGAGAGCAAACCTAGAGAGAACAAACTTGTGAGTTACAAATAGAAGGGCTTTGAGGGTGTTGCTTTCAGGGTTACAGGGGGGATGGTGGCAGAAGGTGGCCTAGGTAACATTCTCTGGATACCCTAGGCATTCTTTTTTTTTCCTTCCCCACCCAGGGGTCAGATGGCACAATCTGGGGACTGAGGAGCTCACCCTGAGGGCCGCGACGGCTCACCCCAAGCCAGGGGCCGAGGGCAGCCCACCCCAGGCAGAGGGCCACGATGGCTCACCCCGAGAAGGGTAACACCCCCCCCCAGGAGCTGGCTGGTATACTCCCCCTCCAATTGCCCCTACCCCAGTCTGGTCCCCTCGCCTGACTGAGGACTCTGTGGTCAGGGATAGTGTCTCCAATTCCAGCACTGCCACTTTTACCCCCCCCATAAGTGGTCATACTATATTTTGAAATAGGTGTCACTGCCCTCCCCTTTTATATATGATAAAGGGAACCTGAGAATTGTGAACAGACTCCCCCCAGGTCTAACCATCTTTTGGCAGAATCATTCAACAGAACAAAATAATGTGGTTCCTTTAGGATGTTGGTCCTCTTGTGCATGCTGCCACTGTTAAGGTCATCAGACTCACAGTGACTTTCAGCAATCCATTGTATAGGTAATCATCTTCTTTGGCCTGTCCAAGGAAACCCAAACCTGCAGATGGCGGGCATGCATCCCATCCCCCACCTCCTACACGGGCGGCCGGCAGGGGGCGCGCAGCCCCCCTCAGCGCGGGTGGCCATTGGGGGCGTGCCCCCCCACCCCGCCACACAGGCGCTCGGCGGCTGGCAGGCGCCCCCTTCCCCCACTGCCGCCATCCTGGCTCCAAGAATTCTCTCCAGAACAAGTCCACCTTGTGGCAGTGTGGTGTCTTCACTGTACCAGTCTTGAGGAGGGCTGGGTGAGGGAATCCATTGGTTCCAGCTGTGGAAGCTTCATGGAGCTGCAGTGGCTGTGCGGCGCGGCGTGGGCTCTTCGTGAGAGGGTTGGGAGCCACCAGACTCTCCCATTCCTCCTTGGGAATCCTTGAATTCCTGTTGTTGAGCCTCGATCTTCACTGAGGGCCAGTCATTAACTGTTTAAGTGTTCAATTATCAATAAGCTGAAGTCTGTAGAAAGTCATAATGGCCCTGCTTTAAGTGGTTCGCTGCTCCCGCAGCTCACCGTGCTGTCTCTGCCTCCGCTGCCATCTTGGATCCTCAGTTTGCCTTTTCTTATAGGCAATGCTTATATATAAAGAAAACAAAAATGCTCACCACTGTGCCTTTTTTAGGCACAATCATGATAGATAAAGATGGAAACTGCCAACCACTTCATCTTACTTGGATCCACAATTAACAACCTTGGTAGCAGTGGTTAGGAGATCACGAGACACATTTCACTGAGAAAATCTGAAGTCAGGAACTTTTCCAAATTATTTAAGAGCAATGATATCAGTTTAAGGACTAAGGTGTGCCTGATGCAGGCCATGTCTTTTCAAACAGGCGCTATGTTTCTGATAGCTGGACAATGAATAAGGATGAGAGAATTAATGCCTTTGAGCTGTGGTGTTGGATAAGAGTCCTGAATATCCCATGGACTGCCAAAAGAACAAAATATGTTTTGGAGAAAGTGCATACAGAGTGCTCCTTGGAGACAAAGATGTTAAAGCTTTAGGGGAGCTCTGGTGGCCTAGTGGCAAGAAGCTGCACTGCAATCCCAGAGATATGCGGTTCAAATCCACCAGATGCTCTGCCAGAGAAGGAGGGGCCATCTCCTCCTGTACCAGTCAGATCCAATTTGACGGTACACACACAGAGAAAATAAATTTTTTTAAAAAATGTAAAACAAAAAGATGTTAAAGCTTTGTCTCACATACTTTGAGCATGTTGCTAGGAGAGGTTATTCCTTGAAGAGGGACATCAAGCTCGGAAGAAGAGTGAAAGAGAGGAAGACCCTCAACCAGGTGCATTGACACAGTAACACAGAGTATGTCAGAGGTTGTGAGGATGGCACAGAATAGGACAGGGTTCAGATCTGTTGTTCATAGGTTTGCTATGTAACACGTAACAGCACGTAACAACAAGTAAAAGAAGGCATATAAGAGTTTGTGATCTCCCACAGTAGTAATTATTTATTGAACGATACTTTTCCTTTGAAAAGGAACAGGAAAAGTAGTAAATTGTTTAAAAAATTCTTAATTAGAATTTAAGAATTCTGAAATAAGAATTTCTTAAGCATGCTGAATAGTACTGCTAATAGTGAATATAGCTTAAATTTCTAATGAATGAAAGAAAATAACTTAGAAAAAGATGTACCTCTGTGGTGACATTTCTTTCTTTTACCTTTTTATGGTATTTTTCTGCTTCAATATCTGTAACACAGAGAAAATTTTTGTAAAATTCAAAACATTTCCTTGTAACTGTTACCAAACCTAAACTTTTGAGATAATAGCTGACCCTCCAGTGGGGCTTTCAAGAGGCAGTTAATGACACAGGGGGAGACTGCCCTTTCTTCTCCTGTGGAGCAGCTGGTGGATTGGAACCACGTGCCTTTGGGATTGCAGCATAGCTTCTTGCCACTAGGCCACCATATACTATAAGATAATTTCTCACTGACAATTTAAATTATGGACATTGGTACTAGAGATACTCAAAATAATTAAGCTTTCTAAAACAAAACAGAGTTTTAAGTGGGGACCTGAAAAGATGGGTAATGCTAAGCATAGATCAACAGTGATTCATTTTATAAACACAATTGTAGGAGAATGATCATATGAAACACAATATGAATGAAGGAATTTATGAAATACAATGTACATGAATGAAGCAAAACGTATCCGAATTCTGTATGCAAACCAATATTAAAGCTAAAAAAATCTTTAAAAGGAATAGAGCTAATTATAGAAACAAAAAGCATTCTGGGCTAGAATGTAATTGTTGTGTGTGTTGTTGTTTACAGTTGAGTTGAAGTTGACTCAGCTGACTCGCCATTTAGTTTACTGAGGCTGTAAATTGCACAGAAGAAAACTTCATCTTTCTAAGCCACACAGTAGCTGGTCGATTTGAACTACCTGTCTTGGGGTTGACAGTGTAATTTCTTACTGCTAGGCCATGAGAACTAACATATAAAATAATATATGTATACTGGGATAATTGGGATGGGAGTGTCAGAGACAGTGCGATTGGCACAGGACAGAGCGGAGTTTAGGGTTGTTGTACATAGGGTTGCTATGAGTCGCAAACGACTCAACGGCACATAACAACAACAACAACAACAACAACATATATTTCTTTTTCTGAAAAGAAAAATACATATTTGCCATTTTAAATATACGGTTCCGTGATTGTTGTTTTTAGGTACCATTGAGTTTCGTATGACTCATGGCGACTGTATGAACAAAAGATCTGAACCTAGTCCTGTCCTGCACCATCCTCACACTTCCTGACAAGAGCCCACTGCAGCAGTCACCTTGTCAATCCACCTGGCTGAGGTTTTCCTCTCCTCCACCAACCCTCCTCCCTTTCAAACATTATATCCCTCTCCAAGGAATAGCACCTTCTAAAATCTGTCCGAAGTATGTGAGGTGAAGCCTCATCATTCTTGCCTCCAAAGAGCAATCAGCTGCACCCTCTCCAAGACATATTTATTCGTTCTCTTGGCTGTCCATGGAATGTTCAGTGCTCTCCTTCAACACCGCAGCTTAAAGCCATCAATTATTTTTTTGCCATCCTTATTCATTGTCGAGGTCTTGGAAGCATAGCTAGTAATTGGAAAGACCATGGCCTGAGCCAGATGCATCTTAACCCTCAAACTGACATCACTACTCCTCAGTAATTTGGAAAGGTCCCTAACTGCAGATTTTCCCATTGCAATGCATCTCCTTATTTCCTGACTGCTCATCCCAAGGGTGTTAATTGCGGATGCAAGCAAGATGAAGCTGTTGACAGTTTTAATCTCCTCTCCATGCACAATGACACAGCCTATTGATCCAGTGGTAAGAATCTTTGTTTTCTTCATGTTGAGTTGCAATCCACACTGATGGCTGCATTCCTTGATCCTCTGCAACAAGTGCTTCAAATCTAACTTTTAGCAAATAAGGTTGTGTCATCTGCATAACACTGATGAGTCTCCCTCCAATCCTGATGCCACATTCCTCTTCATAGAGTCCAGCTTCTTGGATAATTTGCTCAGCATATAGACTAAACATGTATGGAAATGGAATATATCCCTGTCACACTCCCTTCCCAATTTCAAACCATGCAGTGTTCCCCTGCTCCATTTACATAACAGCTCTGGGATTCCCATTTTTCTCAATGTCAGCCACAACTTGTTATAATTCAGTGATAAAAATTACATATACTTGTATACATATACATATACTTGTATACATATACATATACTTGTATACATATACAAGTATTACAGTAAAATTTTTTAAAAGATGTAATTAAGAACTGTAACAATAATAAAGTTCTACAAGATGACTTCTCTAATTATAGCTTTTTATTTAAAATTAATTACATAGCCTAATTAGTTATATGTTAGAAATAGGAACGTTAACTGATGTTAAATGCAAAATAAATATTTAATAAATTTTATTATATTCCATAATTAAAACTAAAGAAAGTGAACTAAAAAATAAGTATGATCTGGTGAATTCTCATTTAAATATGCTCTCAAATGACAGAATAAAATTAGTTAAGTGTACCTCAAATATATAGACACACAGTAAGATGAATGATGTGCATTTGGATGTATTTTAGTAAGTGGAAAAAATTGTGACGGTCACATTGAATAAAGTTTTCATGATACACTGAACTAGAAAATCAAGTGTATGTGGTCAAATTTCAATTTGGAAATTGTTATTAAAGGTAGAATAGCAATATCTAAAAAAAATCCATGAATTAGGACAAAGTGAAAGCTTATTAAAGGGGAAATATAAAAAAAATTAAATTAGTAGATTTAAACTTAAAGGAGATAAAGTCATTACCCCGGGCATGATTGATAATCTAGAAACAACTCTTGAAACTTATTTTATGTTTCTTAAATTAAATTTTTATTTTATACTGTTTTACTTACAAAGTTTGTATAAATTGTTTTTCACACAGAATCTTTCCCATTTCCTTTCCTCAACCCGCCTTTTATCCATCAAATTGTGAGACCCTATTAATAACCCTCTTGCCCTACCTCTGTTCCTACCCTCTTTCCTCTTGGATCCTCATACATGCTTTACTAGTTATCTTTATATTTCTACAATAACCGTTTTACACAGTATTCGTCCTTATGGAACTGAGTTCACTTAGTGTAATGCTTTCTAGTCTCTCCCAAGCTAGGTAGTGATTTTCAAAATCATTGCTCCTGCATGTTGCATAATTTTCCATAGTGTGAATGTACCATAATTTCTCAATCCATTCCACGGTGGTTGGATATTTGGTCTGTTTCCAGGTTCTTGTGATTGTGAATAATTGTGCTATGAACATTGGTGTACAAATCTCTGTTTGTACCTCAGTTCTAATTTTCTCAAGGTATATTCCATTCAGTGGAATACGTGGGTCATGTGGAATTTCTATAGCCAGCTTTTTAAGGAAAAATCAAACTGTCTTCCGGAGTGTTTTTACTATTTTACAATCCCACCATTAGTGTATTAAGAGTTTCTGTCTCTCCACATCCTCTCCAACATTTATTACTTGGGAGCCTCCTTTGTGAAGCAGTTGAATTCTAGAAGGTCAGACACAGCGAAACCCGGCCAGAGAGGGAGGGAGAAGGCATCACTGGGCAAGGTCACCTCGGATAACAGCAAAGGAGTCGTCTTCCAGGTGTCACTGGGCAAAGTCAC